CCAACTACAGAAATACTAAAATATATTTGATTGTGCTATAGAACTATTGCAAGTATGCTTCAGGTACACTTTAAATACCTTACATTTAAAGACCAATATTATTCAAAGATCATACAATCCTCATCAATATTGACATTAAAACACTTTTTAGGCTTAAAATTAAGAAATGTGCATTGTGCACAAGCACTACTCCAAATAAAGTTTAATTATCATTTTTATATCAGTAATTTTCGAGTGATATGTCAGTAAATATGTTAATAGATTTGAACTATACTTAGTATGAAATAAATGTATTTTAAATATTTTTTTTTTTACTACAGTCATTAGGTTACTGTTGACAAAAATCTATCAGGTGAAAAAAAATAAAACTACAAGAACACAGTGCTAAAAATGTCTAAATACTGATGGTGTGAATATGCAAATACCATAACAACATTATATACATATTTTAATATCCTAAACAGTCTTAAAAACATGTAAACCAATAAGCTAACACGCAAAGCAAGAAGACTTCACAATAAAGTAATATCTTAACAATAGCGAATACTTTCACATGCTCAATTTTCACATGCTGTATAAAAATGATTACATCAATGTTTATACATGACTACATTCTTGAAAATTTGTGTCATTTTAGACAGTCACTAAATGAAGCATTACATTTGTTGACTAAATTTAGTATATGCCATGTGTCAAATAATATTACATGACAAAATATTGACTAAATTTAAGGCACATTTTCATCAAAACACAAACAATGAGTAAAACTGCAAAACTCAACATTTCAGTCTAACAACTAGACGGTTGACATGGATTAAACATTTGAAAGGTGTTTTATCTGGCTGACTGTGATTTCTCACACAACTGTTGTTAAAAAGTCTGATGTTTAGCAGTAATTCCTGACATTACCCAGCGATGTTTACTACATGGCATGTGTTTATCAGTACTTCTATGGAGGTCCGTTCCCTCACTGTTCTCTCCCAATCAATGCCACCCAATCTACAAATGAACCAAACTTATGTACACACAAGTGCTCGTTTTTTTTTTTTTTTAATTCAGAGAATTTGAAAAGAGCTGGCAATGCAAGCTGTAATATCCCCCAATGCGGGAAAAGACAGCACTAAATGCACAAGAATTTGGGACTAATCCTGGACTCTAATTAATTAATCTGAGGTCAGTTGAATCTACAGTATGTCAGAACAAATACTTTAATGGAAAATAATGAGCTCACTGTTGGTCTGTAACTAAGGACACAGGGACTGATGCTAACAGTAAAAACAATAATATTATGAAATATTATTACAATGTAAAATAACTGCTTTCCATTTTCATATATTTCAAAATGTCATTTATTCCTGTGATGGCAAAGCTGAATTTGTCATATGATTCTTCAGAAATCTACTATTACTGCCAAAGAAAAGGGGTTTTCAACAAGAGCTTCACGACCCCTGGGGAGACCACAGCAGTACCGCAGGGGGTTCGCCAATTGTTTGATTTCAAATTATTTTTTGTAAAAAAAAAAAAAGTGACAAAAATACAATAAACACCTTTATATGGTATATTATAAAGACAACTTAAGATTCGAGTAACTTTTTAAATGCAAGCATCGTAAAAGTATTTAAATACATCAATATGGTTCTGCATGTGTTTAAAATGCAACACTCAATTTGATACAATATGTATCAGGGGTCCCTTCTTTGCCTCTTTATCCAACGTTAACCTAACTATAGCAATATGTGCTCTTCTCACCTAGAGTTCCTAACGCGTCTCTCTCCTATTTCTACAATAACACCCCCTCCTCCTCTCTGAACTATAAACGGTCTAATTTCTCACATCTGGGTAGGGCTTTTCGCTGATGTCAGGGCAGCACATATGGAAGAACACATGCTTTTGATTAAGAAACCATTTGATGAGTAAATACTATCAAAGTAAGACCAGATCCATGGTCATTCAGGTTCCCTCTCTATCTTTCCTGTTCTCCATATGTATTTAAAGTCAAAACTAGCACTATTAAACTATAACCATTATCAAACAGGTTTCCAAATCACCCCATTCTACTGTACGGAAAACAGGAAAGCCCCACCCCAAACTCATGCTATTGGTCGAGCCAGTGTTGCCATGTCGAGACACCCAAACAAACAAAGCAATGTGGAAAGTACTGCAGTCACACTTTTTGGGGATGTCAATCAATTTCCATTTTTGGGAGAGGAAATAACACAGCAGCAGCTGTAAAGCTTTGAGCAAATACACTAGAATTAGAGACTGATGCTATACTAAGTATTACTGAGATGCAGTACTATTACTGGGTTTCTTCCATACTGAAATTGTACATTAAACATCTAAAGAAAAATAATCTTTTATCACAATTACATGTTACTGTTACAATATAATTTCTGGAAATGTTGAGAATTTTTTTTACCAGTTAAACTACTTTTCAAACTTTCTGGGTCAGTAAAAAAATGTTTTTTTTGGGGGGGGGGGTGTACATATGTAAGTACATAGTACATTATGTAATGCAACTTTTAACATGCATTACATAGATCAAAAGCAACAAAGACATTTATAATTTTTATAATGTAAAAAAAAAACTGTTATTTTATATTGTAATTTCACAATATTTTTAATGCAGTCTTTGTCTCGTTGAGAGTAAAGAGACTCATTTAAAAAAAAAAAAAAAATCTTACACCAAACTTTTGAACATTAGTGTAAATAGTGTAACTAATTATTTAATCATGAATATTAGTGTATCTATCACAACTTGAGAAAATACTATATTACAAAAAGTGGCTGATGGTTTTTTTTTTAGGGCTGTGCGATATTGAAGAAAAATGCGATATGCGATAACTCATTAAATAATGCGATATGCAATACGATAATGCTTAAAGTGCCACATGCTCAGATTAAACAGTTTTACTCAGCTGTTGCTGATTCAGTTCTGTGAACTTCT